GCCGCGCCCTAGGGACCGATGTCGCAGGACTACCCTTCAAGACAACATAACGCACGAAAGCACTATCACAACTTGGTATTGCAAACATGCATTGTGAGTAGCAAACTTTGGTGCAACTGCTAACAAAAGCGAAGCAACATCCAAACATGAAGATACTCAACGAGAAGCACAGGACCGTAAGACTCAGCCAGGTCACCCATAGGGGAATCACCAAAAATCACCACGCTTAGTGTATGCGAGTTAAAAGCTTCGAGGTAAAAGACTAGGCACCAGAAAAAAATGATTCTAGCCACGCACGACCCAATAGCCAGCTAAACGCCGCCAAAGAAAATGTGATCAGGGCCATAAAAACGCACCAATATGGAGTTGGCATCCCAAAATTTCAGGTAGAATGAGTCATCCCCTGAACCTGGAGTGCATGCATTTCACACCACTACCCCTAGAGCAAGGCCTTGGATTATGCCATGATGTAGTCATCTCTCTTTCTTTACTCACCAAACAATGTAGTTGTTTCTAAAACATTATCAATGAAGTGAAGGAAGTTGACTATCAAAAAAACTATTAGAACATTTTTTACTAATAAAGCTTGATAATACTTACATAATATGTTGTACACTTTTACCAAATGGTAACAAGGATTGATCATCCACATCATTTGAGAAACATTGTTGTAATATTTTGTTTCACCTGATTCCCCTTGTACGATACAGTAGTCATTTGGGCTGCAACCACCTGTTTCTTCTTGATAAATCTCACCACATGTTCCTTTATTTTATGTCCTATTGATAATCCATTAAGAGTCTTTCCATATGCATGTTTCTACATGTATTTGCAAATGCGAAACTAGCTCGTGTTGAGATGATCCAGGTTGCTGCCTCTCCAATCCATATTCATTGTACTCCTTTACTGTTCCACTTTTGTTCATCCATCTACATTAGGTTTGCCGAAAAATCCCCTAACGACTCTTCCTCCCGCAATTACAAAAAATGAATGAATGTTTGTTTAAATTATGCTAAGTCTAATATAAAATGTTATTTAAATTTTTTTAAAACATCTTTAATGGTTTGCGGAGGTCCTAAAACATAAAAACTTATAATAAATCAAAGTAGGTTGTTTAAAGAATATACAAGGATTATTACAAATTTACAATCAACAAATGAGATAGAGTAATAATCGCAGTCGAGATCATTTTAAACACTAAAATATGTTTTAAGTATCAAAGCTATCAACAAAGGGATGGTATCTCAAGAGTATCATGTGTTGGTGGCAAGGTGCTCCTTCATCATAAGTTAGGTGTTCAAGACTCACCGAATATATATATATATATATATATATATATATATATATATATATATATATATATATATTAAAAAAAGTTTAGAAGTAACTAGATGCATTTCAATCATTTGCATATTTTATCCTTAATACATGCAGAATCAATATACATAAACAACTTCATCACAAATTAAGTTTTACCACCTTGTATAAATCCATCCACATAACACCAAATCTTGAAATTGAGGTTAAGGAAATGATTTATTCCACATTTGGTCTCTAATTCCCACATATGATTGTTGTTTCTTTAAAGAATTGATCCCAATAGCTCTAAGGAATCAAAATTCACACATCTATCCCCACAAAACTTCTAAACTAAAAATAATGTAATGGAATGAATTCTCATCACTGAAGGGACTAGTAAAAGAAGGTCAGGATCGGCCAAACATGTCAATTTTAAGTTACCTTATGGTACTCCTATCCAATACATTGCATGGTTTTAAGTTTTGTACACATTTGTACAATTAACTAAAGGTTTATGTTCATTCTCTTATGCATGCATTTACTTCGTCAAATCCCTCACTAAGTTCATTGGATTTATACTTCTTTTAGAAGTTTCATATGTGGTTAAGTTCATTGGATTTATACCTAACCGATTTCTTGTGTTTACAGACTTCCATTTCTAACACAATATAAATATACATGTATCTTGTGTTTACAGCCTTCCATTTCTAACACAATACAAATGTACATTTACTTACACTTAATATCGATCACTAGACAACTATTCCAATACTCTTACATGGTCTCATAATCCAAAAAGTATCGATCACTAGACAACTATTCCAATACTCTTACATGGTCTCATAATCCAAAAAGAACACATTAGCATATCATAAAATCATATCATGATCTCTTTGTGGATCTCGCAAGATTTAAAAAACAACAAGATTATTATTAATAAGGTTCATAGTCAAACAAACGAATGATCGTGCTGAAGAGTTTAATGAATAAAACTCATTTGTACCTTTGACTTTAGCTCTACTATGGAATAAATAATGATTCTAAGTTATTTATATACGTTATTGTGCAAGTGTATTAAAAAGGACGACAACACTTTAAGTAGCGAAACATGTAGCATCTCTCTCTCCTATACTACCTACGGACACTAATTATAAGTCTTATTCCTTATATAGATATAAGTTCTATTATTTTAATCGTATAAAACTACATTTATAAAATCATACGTGAAAATCAATGCTCACCAAAAAATTACATACTAAAAAAGAAAGTAGAAAAAAACATAGAAATTTTTAAATTTATCAATTAAGAATTATATTATAAAAAATTATTAATTGTATGTAAATGGTTATTGCAATTTTTAAAGTTGATGTCAATATTGTTAAGATTGAGATCATATCTATAATTGTACTTATTGCAAAATTATAATCGTAAGATTGGACTAGAATCCAAAGATTCCACCATGATAAATTAGTCTCCAAATTTGATTGCAAGTTCTTGTTTGTGTAGTCCTATTGTATTTTGATGTTGATCAAGAAATCCGTGGTGGGATCGACTTTAACTCCTTAAGTAATAACCATAATCTTTGAGTTGAATGGAAGAACTTTGATGTAAAATTTCAAGTTGAATGAATAATGTTTGTACTTTGTATATGAGATGTTGAGCACGAATAACTAATTTGATAAGGCTAGAAAGACTAATAAATACTTGAGTATAGAATAAAAAACTGAAAATGTAGTATTGGATCGAATAAATTCCTACGGGTCTAGATATAAATCTTATTTTAAAATTAAAATTAATATGATCAAGATATATTATGTATGTTTTTTGCTTTTCACAATCATGGTTAAAAGGAAAACATAATTGTTTTTATTTTATATATAACCTAAATAAATACTATATAATACTTATTTTCAAATATTTTTAAGCAGTTCGTTGCCCTTTGAGAAATCCGGCAGGCGCCATGCTTTATTGGAAATGAAAAAGGGCAGAATGGAGACCGCATGTTCACGGAATGGGGCGGTGAAACCGCACTTACTACACCCCCTCTTTTATTTCAACCAATAAATCAATAAGTTTACCAAATATAAATACTTTTATTATCGTCAACTTGATAACTCTTTATTTTATTACAGCAAGATAAATCGAATATTTATTTTCTATACTTAATTCGGTTTTTATATATAATATTAAATAAATCAGAAAAATGTAAAAACTAGTGTTTTGGTCGCATGGAATAATTTATACGTAGACCCACTAGCGCCCTTCCATTTAGCATCCTTATCCTCGGAATTTAACGTGTAGCCTTGCATCGTCCAATTCGGACATCTTCACGTTGACCAAAATCAACACGCTTTTTTTAGACTCGAAGATGCCACCGCCCATTTTTATTTATTTTTATAAGTTTACTTTAGACCATTTTATTATATAATATCTACATCTACACCCCTCTAGTTCTATAATAGACAACTTAAGATTATAACGCTGGCAACATTTACATTGTAATAACACTAGAACCCACAATTTGATACGTTATGCGACTGATATGACACGAATATGACACGTGTTTTTCTGTGTATGAGTTTTAGAAATCAGAATTTCGTGTGTTTTTGTCGAATGAATTCTAAATTCGTGTTTTATGTCAAACACGAGCTTACCTGCTTTACATTTATAAGATAAGAATTAAATTGGTGTGGCACACGGTACATCTAAACACGTATATACATATAGAGACACACAACATATGACACAAATACATACTAATTAAATGCATATTTTCCTAGTGTAAAAAATGGTATTAGACAATGCGTGTGTAAATTAATGAAAAACATGTTTATTCTTGTCGTATTACGTGTCATATAAATTAGTTGCCTGTTGTTTTTATGTTTGATAAACAATCGTGTGTTATAATTTGTGTCATATTCATGTCTTGTCGTTTCTAACAGGTATACACATAAACAAGAATTGTTAGCTCGAAACACCGCATTCATAGGATTGCAACGTAGATCTAAACATAATATATGTGTTGAACCCTAAGCATTTTCGCTAATGAACACTTTTCCAATACTTCTGATACTATAATGTCACCGACTATTCTATATTGTGATACATATATGCAAACTAGAGAGATTTCTATCAATATTAGGAAAATACAGTTGTGAAGTAATTACAAGTATGATATAAAAAAGAAAAAGACTAAGCCTAAAACAAAAAACATGTCAACCCAATGAATTGTTATCCTCTCCATAAAACCATAATCTTTATAGTTCAGTCTTCTCAAACACCCATGTATATGTTCGTGAACACTTTATGGAATCTCCTTAGGTGAAATTTCCTTCCTCTAATTTATAAATAATTTTCTAAAGTTAAGATTTCATTATTAAGTTTCAATAACGATAATTAAGGTCTAGAAGCAAATTTGACTCAACAACTTAATGCACACAACTTTAACAAACTTGTTCAATTTACGATTTTTTGTAAAAAAATCTTATTTTAAGGATAGTGAGGTCATTTTTTTAAAGCCATATGGATTTACTAATTAAAACCAACATAATCAGGGTCTTGCATGACTATCTTCAGAAATAGAATGGATTTAGTGCGGTGTGGGTATAAGTTGAGGGGCCTAAATGTAAATATTCGATAATGCCCATACCTAATAAGCAAACGGCAGACCCCGTATTTTGAGCTGTTGGCAGCATTCATACCAAATAAAATGGCCCCCACCAAATATAGAAATGGATAACGCCGAATCTTCACGTTGTCCACTACGAAGTACAACCATAAATACATACAGTCTACATGTCTCTATAGTCAGGCATATCCCACTTGTACCCTTATCCTGTTATCCCTTTAAATTCATTATCCTCGTCTTTCCAACTTTCCTCATAAGCGAAGAAAAGGATTAAGCTGTGTTCATACTCAATACCATACCAAAAACCTCACCTTTATTTCCCAATTTCAAAAGCTGAACAGTTGATTGATTAGAAAGATTTGAGATTATAAAACCGAGACAAGTTGCAGATAATGATGATGCAGATGGAGATGGGTTCTTCTACTACCTTAGATCAAGAAAAGAAGATCGGAATCATGGGTTATGAAAATCAAGAAGAAGATGATTCGTTCTCTTCTGATGTTTCGAGTATGGTATCATCAGATGATGAATCCGATGATGCATTTGAAGAAAGCAATTCATCTTCCGGTAGCTCTCCGTCGTCTAACGACGATCATCGGAGTGCCTTGGGAGACATGTCTGATCTTCTTCACCAACTTCCCTCCAAGTAAGTTTAATGTCAATCACTTACAAATTACAAGTTAGAAGCTGCTTATCTGATTCCGAAAAGATACATCATAGATCTAGAACTTGTTCTTATATTTATGTTTGATGAATTAACAGGAGAGGTTTGTCAAAGCACTTTCAAGGAAAGTCGCAATCTTTCACATCGTTGGCAAACGTGATGTGTTTAGAAGATCTTGCGAAGCCAGAAAACCCTTACAACAAGAAACTGAAATCATGCAAAAGCTATGTCGGATTATCCAAAGTGCTTCCACCTCCGACAAGAAGTGCTTCTTCCTCGAAGCTTTTCAACAACAAGCCATCGTCAAGAACATCATGTTCTTCACTAAGTATAGGAAGAAATGGTAGTTTCCTTGGATTAAGCAACACCAGTAGGCCACCTAGTCATCCATCTCATAACAATGGTGCCACGAGTGCTTTTTAGCTATTCGGATCGAACCCTTTTGTTCGTTTGAGGCAATCATGTTCAAGTTGATCGATCTTTCAAGGGATCCTTGGCTTTTTGGATGTTCGAGTCTCGAGAGGGAAGTTTCTTTCCTTCGCATTTTGCAAGAGATTGTTGTCATGACCCGTACTTTCGTGTATTTGAGTTACAATACAATCATTGTGTATATACTAATGGATTTGTTTAAGGGAATTGATTTATGTTTGTGGGTGTATCCAGATACTATAATCTTAATTAGAAGATACTACAGATCGTTTTTAGTCCTTTTACTTCCATAAAGCTGCAAATTGGTCTTCCGTAGATTTATGGGGTTGTTAGGCCTTCCATGTGCATATATGAAGGCTGAATATTTATTGAAGAGTATCGTTTTGAAAATTCTTATTTTATATATATATATATATATATATATATATATATATATATATATATATATATATATATATATATATATATATATATATATATATAGGACTCATCTTGAATAATGATATTAATTTAGATTAAACCATAAAATAGGCGGTGATATTTTTGTAAATTAATGGAACTTCGGGATTATATCAAGACATGGAGGGGCAGGAATAGAATTTTGCATTCTTTTTTGTTCAGCACACAAAAACACCCAATATTCTTCCTAAAAACCCTAGATACGAACACTAAAACCCATTTGATACAAATCTCGATCATCCACATCTTCTGCTTCCTTCAAAATTTGTTTCGGATTAATCATAAAATCGGATCAAGTTCTCGAGCATCAACATTCCTGAATCAAACGAAATCGAAGCTTGGTTTTACAACAAATGGGTCATTCAAAATCGGATTCAGATTTTGCATCTAGGGTTAATCCAGGTGATGTATAATACTATAATTTCTTCTTGATTTTATATCTGTGAGTGATTTTGAGTAAAAATATTTTAATTTCTTCTTGTTAAAACCCTAAAATCGATTATGATTCACTATCATTTTGATTTTCAATGTTCTGATTCATATTCTGATGTTGAATCGTGATTACATTTTGCTTTCATCGATTCAAAGTTCGTTCATGATTAAACTTTGTTTCCAATCTCTCAATAAAAACACAAAGAAATTGATTATGATTCTTATCCTAAAAACTACGATTTCATTCAACCAAATCAAAGCTCGGGTACACCAATTTGAAGATCTTTTTTCTAATCGGGCATTAATCGTGACTCATTTTGCTAAAATTGATTCTAATTCTAGCTCTGGTTTGTGTGATGATCCATCAGAAATAGTTGATTCTCAATCAAAGGCTTCAGATCTAAGTTGTCATACAAAAACTTCCCCTGATGACTTAAAAGATCCAGAACATGAGGAAATTACATCTATTGCAGGTATTTTAGGTTTCAATAATTGATAAATTAGGTTTTATATTCTTGTATTGTCTTAATAATATTGGATTTGCTTATTTGATGAATTATAGATTTGATTTTAAAAGTAGATTTGTTGATTAATGACATGACGTGGTACTAAATCTGTATAATATGTGTTGATATGTTAGTATTCCAAATGTTCTTATATGATTATGATTTGTATATGATTTTGATTTATATTAATCAATGGATTATCACTTTAATTTTTTGTTTTGGCATTTAATTGAATCTCTTGTATGTTGTAAAGCTTTAGAATGTTACTAATATTTGATGTTTGTGGTTAATTGAAGTCGGTTTGCTTCATATTCATCACAACAAAACACTAAAACGATCACAAAAATGGCTCATTCTACACAATCATATTCTGATTATATACATGATGAATCTCCACTTTGCAAAACATGAACTTTTATAATTCCACTAAAGTCTATATATTCTGGAATGTTTTTATGTGATATTCTAATTCTTTGGATTGATATTTATTTTATATATTCTTGATTGTTATTATGCTAAAATTTAACTATTCTAATTATTATAATGTATGTTCTAGTAAAATAGTCTAGATATTCTGAAATGTTATTACATGGTATCTTGTTAGTCTATGAATTGAAATGTGTGTTTTAATATAAAATTATATATATTATGCTTGCTATTTTGTGTTTTTGTAAAAATCCAAAACCCTAGAAAACAGAATTACCAAGCTTAATTTTCATCTATTTCTGAATCAACACGTTTTTTGTGATTATAATTTGTTTTAGATTTCATCACGATAAACACTAAACCGGTCATAGAAATGCTTCATTCTATCGATTCATATTCGGATTATACACCTGATCATTCTCCAATTCACAAAAATGTATTGATTTTTTCTATATTTCGACTATAACTTGGTAATAAAATTATTTTTATTTATGTATTTAGGGCTTATGATATAGTTTTTTTGATTTATAAATCAACAACAGTTCAAGCATTTGTATTCTACATGCTCTTGAGTTATCCTTGACTTTGATTCTGATTATTGAAGGATTATGATTTATGAAGCATTTTTTATGAAATTCTGTACTTTAGCTACATTTAACAATTAATTTAAAACATCATATAATTTTTTTCTAGATTTTTTACAGGTGTTTGGACTATAATTTAATCTAATATGTTATTGTTATTTTGCTCATTAGTTGATATTCTAGAAAAAAGTTTAATAAGTTGATGTTTCTGAAGTTGATATTTTAGGTATTCTGATATGATTTCATATGTCAGTTCATAACTTTATTTTATTATATGATATAGTATTTTATAACATTGAAGTCTAATTGTTTACGATTTCTTTAGAGTTTATGATATAGGTTTGTTGTATATAGGTTTTGCTATGAATTTTAGAATTTTCCAAGATGTTATAAGTGTTTGAACTATAATATAATCTTTAGATGTTATTGCTATTTTGCTGCTTATTTGGATATTGAAGAAAAGTTTAATAATTTGATGTTTCATAAGTTTATATTCTAGCTATTCTAATATGATGTCATATGTTGCTTCATAACTTTATTTCATTACATGATATAGTGTTTTATAACATTGAAGTGTAATCGTTTTTGAATTCTTTTACATTTATGATGTAGTTTTATTGTCAACAGGTTTAGCTATGAATTTCAGATTTTCAGAAAATTCAATACCAAAAAGTTGAGGATAAAGGATTCAAAGAAATTTCTCAAACAAAGTAACATTATGATTCCAGTGAGAACCATATGTGAGTTATTCTAGGTATTATGTTAATTATTTATCTTCTGGTATAAATTTAGTAAAAAGGTTTTTTCAATTTTAATATTCTATGTACTCTTATTAGTATAATCTAATTTCAAATGTTATTGTATTATTTAATTGGAAGATATAGTACAAATAGAGTGATATGGGTTTTGCTATCTTAATATTCTGATTTTATCTAAACTGCTTGATTTGAACGTTTTCATGAAGTAATGTGTAATATTCAGAGAGTATTTGATATACTATGCAGTTATGTGAAATATTTTAAAATTATATGTCATATTCTAGTTTTAGACATTTTGATTTTTGTTGGAAACAACTTTCTTTCAAAATTTTGTTAAGCAATATGTAATATATTATTTTAGACATCTTAATTTTGTTGAAATAACTTGTTTTGAACATTTTTGTTAAATAATGTGTAATATATGATTTTAAACAAAATGCATTTAGTTGGAAACAACATGTTTAGAACATTTTTAAAAATGTATTGTTTATATCCTACTTTATTGTTTTAACAAAAGTATGCTTTATTTTTTTTGATGCAGATAAGACATTGAAACTACCAAATCAAGGGAAAAATTAGCTTTTGATCCTAAAGAAAAGAATGTACGACAATGTCTATAAAATCTGTAGTTCATGGTGCCTCGTCATATAGCTCATCAATTGATCAAATAATAGTTATGGTTTGAATGTTTGAATGTTTGAAGATTGGTGAATATCTAATAAAACAATATTGTGGTTGAACAATAGTTATGTTTTAAATGATAATACATGTAATTTTGTAGTTTATTTCGTATAATGGTAGTAATCTCTTTCACATATTAGACGAGTTTAAAATTAAAGTCTCTATATAAAATATTCCATCAGAATAATATTGTATGTTATATGTTATAATAAGTATATGTATAATATTCTAATAAAATACTTTTATGTGTTGTTTGTTATCGTCAATTGATGTTTATATCTTTTTTAGAATTTAAGTCACTATTCAAGGTAAATTTTATAAGTAGAGCATATGATGTTTAAAATCATTAGAATGATGTAGTTTATGATGTATGATGTTTAATTATAATCTAATAAAATAAAGATATAGATTTTTATATTCTATATGTAGAATATTTTAATAGAATAATATTCCGTGATATTCTAAGTTATATGCAAGATATTTTAACACAACAATGTATAATTAAATTTTGGCTTTTTAATACTCAATGATATGATATTAATCTAATTATTTAAATTATTCAATATTTTTATAATGTGTTGTTAATATAATATTATGAAGTTATTTGTAATATTATGAAATTTAAGTGTAGTATTCTAAAATTATGTTGTAATGTGTACAATTACTAACATTATGTAAGATTCTAATATTATATGAAATATTATGTAATACTCTGAATTTACAATTTAGAGTGTTATAGGAATATTTAGAATAACATATAGAATAAAAATTGATTTGTAGAAAAGAAAAGTTTATAATGTTAATGTGTAATAATTTGAAAGATTGTTATATGATGTAATATTATATTATAAGATGAAATATGCTAATTCAGACCATCATTCCCTTCGAGTGTGTAGGAAACCAAATAATATGTAGGAACCTAGACTAATAAACTTTTTAAACGAATGAGAAACATATAAGTTTATAAAATGAAATGAATACTTTTAGGATAAATATCAAACTTTTCTCTGGAAGTTGAAACGTATTCTAAAAATCTCATAAATTAAAAACCAAATTTCAAGTTTGTATTATACAAAATATATCACAAGGTTACAGTATTTACTAATATGTTGTTAATTGATACGTAATATTCTGAAATAGTATGGAATATTCTAATATTAAAATGTAATATTCTAAATTGTGTTATAACATATAAAATAAACTAATATTACATAAGATTCTAATGTTATATTTAATATTTTGAATATATATATATATATATATATATATATATATATATATATATACACCATTCTAATAGAATAATTTAATTAGGTTGTCTATATTCAAATCACAACTTAATATTCTTATAGAATAATGCTATAGGATGTTTGTATAAGCAGAACATTCTAAATAATTATATGAACATCAAATATCGAACTAGAATATAACAATATATATGTAAGAAAATTAAAATAATGCACAGTTTATTTGGAAATACCAATGTAAAAGTAAAAACTTAGAATATAGTGTTATCGTTTTATTCAATTACCCAAATACATCAC